CAATCATTTTAAAATGGAAAAACATTTTCAAGTTGCACAAAAACAGGCTGCAAGTTGGATTTGGTATACAGGTCAGAGTTTGTTAATTCTAACATTAGAGTATGAATTATTTATTGTAGATAGAAATAGAAAAGGGAGGAACCAGATAAAGAACAGGATTAATTCCTCAATAAATGACATATAATACACACAAGTACATAGTAGAGGCTCAACAGCCTTCCATGTCTACACCAATAAATATTTATTAAATAAGCAGTACTTCTTCCCAGGTAGACTGTCAGCTTCTGGTAGAGAGGACATGTCTCATTTTTTCTTCCCTTTTAGCGAAATGGTCAGGCATAGAATAAGATAATCACTTTCAATGAATGAGAGGATAAATCCATTCCCAAAGGTTGTATTAAGTCATGCAGCAAAGTCTGACTTCAACCTGCATTATTCTTGCTTCATTTCTCCTTGCCCACTTCTGTGGCACATGACTGAGCACAAACAAGTCTCTGTCAACAGAACCTTGCCTTTCCTGCTCCCTATCTTTGTTCACAGATCCAATTTTCCTTTCCATTCCCAAGGTCTACCTGAATTGGTACTTCTTCTAGTCTCCACTAAGCCTTCTCTCAACAGATACAGAGACTCTTCTCGAAAATGCTGTGACATCAACTATCAAGCAACACTTGGGTAGAAAATATCTTCTGTAACCCAACGACATTGAGCATAGCGCCACTTCACTCAAAAAGTGGTTAATTAGGAAATCAAGCAGTGGCCTCTTGTTTTAAGCTTGTCTCTGTTGTAGTCACAGTAAAAACACGTGGCATTATAAAGGAAAATATTGGAGGTATGCATGCTAGTTACCATCTTTGTTATTTAATCAAATAGGAGCCAAGACAGTCTTTTAATAAAATGTGGAAAAAACTAAGTAACAAGTTTGAAAGAAACAGAAAAAAAGCTAGTTTCCAAACTGTCAGAGAATTTAGTTTTACAGACTTTGGTTTGATATTTCCGAATGTCGGGCCATCAACAATGTTAGGTATTTTTGATCCATAATGTGAAACAGATAAAACTAATACCATTGATTTCAGAAAGTACAATGTACTATAATGTTTTTAAAAGATACTATAAATTTTCAAAAATTTTAAGATGATTCTCCATGTCTGATTACCATGAAGGTACAAAGTCAGAGGAATAAACAAGCACGTTTTGAAGGAAGGCAAAAAACAAAAAACAAAAAACAAAAAAACAAAAAAACAAAAAACCTTGGGAGAATAAGGCTTACCTATCTTTTATAGGCAGCAGGGCTCTTGGAAGGAGGGTCACCAAAAAAAAGACGCCTGTCACAGAGCCAGAATTCTGTCCTCACAGCAGAAAGGCTGTACTGGGTGAATAGATGAACAAAATAAAAATTAGCTTAAAGTACACTACTCTTTTAACAACTTGGCTGAGAAAACTCAGAATGCCAAGTGAAAAGAATGTGCAAGTCTAGTTATTTCACAAAAGATTATGACAGCAAGTTTAAATCTAAGTGGATTTTATTATAGTGATTTTTCAACTTTGCCTTCCAACAAAAGGTTTACATAATTTATTTAGTTTTATAATTCCTCTGGACAAAGTATAAGATGAAATGGCTTAGTTTTTTAAAACATAATTAAGGACTAACAAAACTTCCCTGTTCACCCTCCTGCCACTACCAAATAATTCCTCAAATGGTCCAAACAATTTACCACAGTTGGGATTACAAGCATGCACAGCCATGCCTGGCTTGTTCTTTGAGATAGGGTCTGGGTAACTTTTTTGCCATGGCTGGCCTTGAAAATTACCCTCCTGCCTCAGCCTTGAGTGATAGGATTAAACGTTTATGTTTCCATCCCCATAAGTGTCCTTATTTAATTCTAAGGAAAAAAAGGATTACAAAACTGTGCATAGCACAAAAGCACAGGAAAAGAGAACCTCACACAAATGCATTAGCAACCATCTGCTAATATGCTAAATCCTCCATCTATTTTTTAAACAAACTTGCCAATTCTGTTAACTAGATTTCAGTTAAAAATAATAAACTTACATATAAATTAAGCATCCTACTCTTCATAGCTAAAGGTAAAATATGTAAAGTAGGACAGCAATAAATAATATGTAAACTCATATAACTCACCAAAAGACAATTATAATTGGAACTGGATTTCTGCATAAAACTTCTGCTTTTAACAATGTAATACAGATTACCTTTGGACTACACATTATAGTTCAGTGCCCTCAATTTACAGAGGAAATTGGTACAGGTAAAAATAATCTAATTTCTTACGAGCTGAGAGTCTAAAAGAGAACAAGAAGCTTATCCTAGTGGAGAGTCTTTTTATTTATGAAAGAAGAATTTCAGGAAATGAACAGAAACTATTAAGTTAGTAATTATCTACAAAAATTCTACAAGCAGGGCTGGAAAAGTGGCTTAAATGATAGAATGCCTGCCAAGCAAGCAGGAGCCCTGAGTTCCAGTACTACACCCCCAAATAAATAAACAAAACAAAATTTGAAAATTACAAGCAACTTTTCTCTTCACGGTCTTTTAGAAAAGACATCTTTTCATAGTAATGACTAAAAACACCTCCATTATGAAGTCCCTAATATGGTTGCCACCTGAGTCTTCATAAAATAGAATAAGAAAAACAATGTCACCATGGAAATACAGTTCCTCCTGTTAGAACTTAACCTTTCAAAGGCAGAGCCTTTCACAGAAACTAAATCAGCAATAAAATTTTAGAGGACAATCCTAAATTTAAGGGGTTTTCAAAGCAGTAAGAATGCCAAGTCTTGTTAGAAATTTACCAGGGGGAAAGAAAAGATTTCTCAGTCTATATTTTATTAGTTTTATATCTTACAAGTCTGGCAGGACCATCCCAAACAGGAAAAATCTAATAAAATATGATGTACTTTTATACTGTATGACTGTATATACTTAATGTCTACAAGTTTTTTTTGTTTTCTTTTCCCCTCATAGATTTCCATCATTTGACCTGAGTGTACCACGACAGACCTTAGTTTATGGCCCAGTAAAAAGTACAGCTTTGACTTATAGTGGGACAGTTCTACATGTGATCATTATCCGAGAACCAATATGGTTATAAATCAGATGACATCTGTATACACAGAGTTTAATGAACTCTTAGAACGATGGGACAACAATGTGAAAAATGTAAAAGGAGTATAAAATATCCTCTTAACCTGTACCTTGGCAATAGCAGATAGATTTAGGAATTTTACACATAATAAAGGCTATATTCATTATAATAGAGCAGAAATTAAGACTTACACAGTCCATGTACCAGGCATGCACTAAGTATTTCCAATAAAGTCATTTAATATGATCCCCATTCTACTAATGGCAATTGAAGAGTTTAAATAATTTGCACAGTTACGGAATGATAATCCAAGGGAGAGCGGGATTTTGAGCACAGTTTCCAAAGCCCATGCTTTGTCTGAAGAAAAAAACCAAATGCTTATGTTTCATGCTTTAACTCTGCCTTAAAAAGAGTTTAGGATATAGAGAACAGTACATGGTAGATAACCAAAGACATGAAGAATAGAATTACTTTAAAACTGTTACATTGTATATGGACATATGTACAAATGTTTTCCTCTCAGATGTCCAATCCACTAAAACCTTAGTTGCTCAGATTACTCATCTTCCTTAACACCAAAACATAGTAAAATATTTATGAAGCACTTGCAAGACTTGTAACTGTCTTTCTTAAATTATAAAACATTTCATGTTGTTTTTTGGAAGTCTATAAAATCTGACACTAAAACAAGTCTGAATTCTAAATACCCCAACAAATATACAAACTAAATACATACACATATAATGAGCATTTACTACACCTTTAATCCCTCTAATTTTGTGGTGCTCAGCTGGAAACAATCCCTTTCCCAGGGGGATATATGGCAGTGTCTACAAACATTTTTGGTTATTGTAACTGGGCACTGGGGTGGCCCCCACAATAAAGAATTTATCTAGCCCTAAATGTCAAGCCAGCAGTAATAAAGTCCCTAAAGAAGATGGGAGAGGACATGGTTTATAAAAGAAAGATAGCAAAACAAAAATTAAAATACTGTGTACCAAAACATCCTTCACAACAAGAACTCATGTTCTGTACCTGCTCCCCAGATCTGCTTGACTGAGGTATACATCAAAACTTAAATATTCTAATTGTTTTACCAGTTCTCCTTCCAGAAATTCACTTTGAAAGCTAAGTATTTTCAACATTTTACAAATACTCCCAAAGAGAAAATGACAGGCATTCCTAACTGATATAAAATTTATTCACTGATCAAATAAACTTCAAATGCTGTTATTCTCATTAAATAATCCCCAACAGGTTGGGGAAAAAAGGTCCTGAAACTCCTTTTTTGCAAGAAAGAGAAACAGTTCAAGTCAATTGTAAAATACTAATATACAGTGAAAAAAAATCTCTAAGAACCTGCTTATGTGTTCCTGTTCAGCATGTATATTTCCTGCTTCCTTTCCTTTACCTGCTCTAGACTTGAAGGTTCAATTCAAGGCCCACTTTCAAATCTAGGTCACACAACTTCACTGTTTTCTAAATTTTTTTTTAAAGGTTTTAGTAATATATAATAGTTTTACAGGAGGTGTCGTGATCGTGACATTTCCATTTATGTGCACAATGTACCCTGGCTTGGTTCATCCCCTCCATTATTCTCCCTCTTCCCTTTCCCCTTAATATGACTTCAACAGGTTTCAGTGTCCCATATTCATACATGTGTAGAAAATACATCAATCAAGTTCAACCTCCTTTGCCCTCTTCATTTACTCTTCCCCTCCCACTTTCCAAGTTTTATTCTTTGGAACAATAAAACTATACATGCTCCTTAAGGGAAAGAAAGTTTTATTCTTAACTATTTCCACTAATATGGAACTGTCTGTTAGCTGGACTTATATACCAAAAATATTTAACTTTCCCTACAGAAAAAAATAATTAAGAAACAGAACATTTTACCTCCTCTTCACTTTCTTTTTCTTCATCATCTGATGATTCCTCCTTATTTTTCTTTTCTTCTTCATCACTACTAGATTCATCTGACAGAATTTCAGGACATTTGGTTCGCTTTGCCTTCCTTGCCATTCCAGAACTGTTCCGTTCCTTTTTATTCCCTTTGCTAGAATTTTTTTTAGATTTTGGCAATGGCTGCATAAAAAAAATTTTAACAGTAACACCAATAAGGTATTGTCTTTCCAAGTCAATCAACTCTTACTCAACCTGTTCTCTCAAGTATTTACAAACTTAGCACTTTATTCATCTTGAATTTAATGTGTCAGGTTAACCTAAAACTGCATTACCAACGCATTACCAACGTTCTTTTATTTGTGTCTTAAGTACCTGTCAAGACTATTTGTAAAGGTTGAGTATGTATTCTAGATTCTGACATGGTGCCACAAGTCTAAAGTACATATTATGTTAAACTAACTTTATCAAGACAATACTTCAAGTCAGACATATTTTCTTTTTCTTTTTGAAATAGTCTTGCTGTATAGCCCTAATTGGCTTCAATCTTGGCAATCCCTTCTGCCTCAACCTCTTGAATGCTGAGATTGGAGCAGGTGTGAGCTACCACACATTTTTACAAGCATTAAGAATATCATTACCAGAGGAACTCTTTGCTTTTGAGGGTCCAATAATCAAAGAGGAGGAAGGAATTCACCCATTAAAAAAAAAAAAGTGATCATCAATTAGACATCGTAAATTTGTAAATGAACTATATTATCTCTGAGCTCTACTTTCAAAAATGTCAGGATGGAATTCTCACTGACATTTCTGGGCATGTTAATTATGAAACTAAGAACCACAAAATAGGTGCACTGCTATTACCCTGACATTCAATTAAACCATACTTTAAAAGCAGAGTAAATCAGGAAATGATGTGATTATAGTAGTCAAAAAAGTTAGGTTTTAAAACATGCTTTCTAGCCGGGAGCCAATGGCTCACGCCTGTCATCCTAGCTATTCAGGAGGCAGAGATATGGAGGATCGAGATTCGAAGCCAGTCCAGGAAAATAGATCACAAGACCCTATCTCAAAAAAACCCTTCACAGAAAAGGGCTGGTTGGAATGGCCATGAATTCAAAACCCAGTACTGCAAAACAAACAAACAAACAAAAAATGCTTTCTTAGGGGAGTATCTGATAAATTCTGAAATTAAAAATTACAAAATGGCCTCATATAAAGAATCTGAAAATATATAAACTAAGAAATTAGTATTATTTGCTCCTGAGTATCTTTGATACTATTGAGTATCTTTTCTATTTACCTGTCTGCTTCAACAAGCAGAAACATTAAGAAAAAAATCTATAATGTTAAAGTACAGGTTGACATCCCTAATTGAAAATGCAAAATGCTCTAAAATCCAAAACTGAGTGCTGATATAATGACTAAAGTGTAAAATTCTACATGTGGCTTCATGTGATACAAGTCATAGTCAAATGTAAGCATACTAAAAACACTGCATAAATTACTTTGCGGCTATGGGTATAAGATGCTTATGAGAACTAAATAAATTTCATGCCTAGACTTGGATCCCATCCTCAAGACATCTTATATATATCAAAGTATTCCAAAACCTCAAAAAAAAAAAAAACAAAAACCTGCAATCTGAACATTTCTGGTTCCAAGTATTTCAAATAAGGCTAGTCAGTATATATTCAATTACATGAACTTTTGTGGTAATTTTAAACAGTATCTTTCATGAAATTAGCAGAACCACAAGTCTTTTTCTTCTAAAATAGCCAATCTTTTAGGAGTCACTGTCACCTACACAAATATTAAGAGAAAGTGCCTGCCTTGTATAATGTAGTGTTCTCAGGATAGCTATAAACAAACCGTAAGACTGCCTCTGGCTTGTCTAAACAACCCACCATTCTAAAGGCAGATGGGGAAACAGCCAATTTAGGACATTCCAGAAATTTTAAATTAATGGACCAATCAAAGACATTTCCCAAAGAGGCTTTTCTACAAAAGAATGTATCAACTATTATCAGGACCCAATTCCACTTAGAAAAACAATTTGAAAGCACTGTTTGGAGAGAAGGTAAGTTTCATTGTCCAAACTTTTATTATTCACTATATGAACTGTAGATCTCAAACATTAGAAAAATGTAGTATCTTTCAACATCGCAGCTAGGAACCAGAAAAAGGCAGCAAGGATGTCATCCATACACAGAATTAGTAATACTGGTACTGGAATGGTTACTTGATAAATCTACACAGGAGACTGCAAATATTATTGCAATTATTATCATTCAATCACATGACCAAGAAAATGCACTCCCCAAATGAGAAACTTTTAAAAGCAAAACCCACAAAGTAATGATATATAAATGCTTTTATCTATTAATCAGAATCTGTGGTCAATAGCATTTTTTTCTTTTTGGAAACAGTATCTGACTAACAAAATAATCGAGGTAATCTAATATAATAAAACACCAATAATTAAAGGTATGCTTATTTGTCTTTAAATTATTATGGAAAAAGAGTTAGCAATAAGGAGTTTACAACACTTTTCATAAATGACGGAAGCTTATGGTAGTAAGCAAAATAGCTTGAGCTTAACACTATCAGATAAGAAGTAATCATCACAAGGCTCTCCAAGTGTGGTTCATGGACTCTGGGGTACCCTGAGATCATCTCAAGAATCTATAATGTCAACTATATGTGTAGTAACGTTAGCATATTGTTTGCACTTTTCATTATGTTAAAATTTGCACTAACTGTTCAAAAGCAAAGGTGAGTAAAAGCACTGGCACCTAAGCACTACTTAAGAAATCTTAATATTAATCAACACAGCAAAATGTACTAGTAGTCATTATGTTCCTCACAACTACATACCACCAGCAGCAAAAAGCAGCAAACAAAAACCTGTTCACTTACAAATATCCTTGATGAAGGAAGAAATACTAACTGTATTAACGCTCAATCCTTGAGCACAGATGGGAAGGTGTACACACATGAAATACTTTGCCTACATATTAAAGGTAATGGTGTTCTCAAGAGAAGCATTTGTGCAATAATTTGTGTTCTGAGTTAAGCTACTTTTTCCATAGAACATTTTTATTTTTTAGGAGTACTGGAATTGAAATCAGGGCCTCATGCATGCTGACATGTGCTCCACCACTGAGTTACATCCCCAGCCCTGGAACATCATTTTTGAAAGAACAGTTATTCAGATTTTTAGATAATCGACAGACACATTCTCAAAAACAGGAAAACGGAGAGCATTTATTGCCAGCAAATTTTAGAATTTGGGGAAATTCACATCCATGGTCTTTGGAAAGACCATGAACTGGTAGCTTCCTAGTACCTAAAGATGGTGTTGGATGTGACTTGATAGATTTAATGAAATGTGTCAACATTTAGAAAATCTGAGCAATTTAGGGAGCCATTATTTTCCAAATAGTAAATGCAGGATGTTACACAACCATATGTAGGCAAAAACCCAAGTTTATTAATAGGCTTTCAGAGCTAACATCATAACTAATCTCTAAGAAACTACCAACTGTGGAGTTTTGTCAAAAAATAATATCCACAATTATTTGAAAGAACTTTTAAAATTTAGCTTTAAGTACATTCCTGTGTGAGGCTGATTTTCTTCATGTACTTCAGGCAAAATAGTACATTTTAAGAGACTGAGAAACAAAGGGGCTCACACTGTTTTCTCTTAATTAATTCAATGTGTAAAAACAAAATAATGCCACCCTTTTCACTAAGTCTTTTGAAAATAGACTTTTTGCACCAATATCTACTTTTTGACTGAAATGCTTATGTTAAAATAAAACCTTCTATCTATAAACCAAACCAATGGGGTCCTCAACAGTTTTTTTTAAAAAAGGGTCATGCAAGATTATGTAAGCAACACTTCAACAGACATTTTAAGTCATTTGTTACATTAAATAATTGGGTAAACCTAATCTAAATTTAAGGAAGAGTGAGAAAATTAGAAGGCCTTTTTACTTCTGTCTGGCTCCTAGGGTACTGTTGGGGATTTTGAAAGCTCAAAACAGGAAACCTCTAAGAATCAGTTTTTTTTAATGTTACTTTTTCATAATTTTCTTCCATGATCTAGAAAATATCCAGTTCTAATATACCCCTATCTTTTCTTTTTTTTTTCCATTTTTCTTTTATTATTCATATGTGCATACAAGGTATTCTTGGTTCATTTCTCCCCCTGCCCCCACCCCCTTCCCTTACCACCCCCACTCCACCCCCTCTCTCTCCCCCCCCCCAATATCCCTAGCAGAAAACTATTTTTCCCTTCTTTCTGAATTTGTGGTAGAGAGAGTACTAAGACATCGGAAGGGACAAGGGTTTTTGCTGCGTTGAGATGAAGGATAGCTAGTGCACAAGGGCATTGACTCACATTGATTTCCTGCTGAGCGTGTTACCTTCTAGGTTAATTCTTTTATCTAACCTTTTGCTCTGAAGTACCCTGTTCCCCCTGTTTCTATTGGCTCAGTTGCTTTTAAATGTATTCTCTTTTAGTTTCTCTGCGTTAAAGGCAACAAATGCTAGCTAGCTTTTTAGGTGTCTTATCTGTCTTCCTTAAGTCTCGTCTGTCTCCTTGTGGGCTCTCGCTTTTATGCATTGTCAGAGTGCCAATTCCCCTTGTTTGTGTTTTGCCCACTATTAGAATCTATATGTCCACATATGAGGGGAGAAGCGATGAGCGTGAGTTTGTGTGTGTGGTGGTGGGCGTTGTGTGTGGTGCGAGTGCGTGAAGCGCGTCGAGTCCAGAATGATGGCTGTCGTGCCAATCCATCCATTACATGCGACGAGTGTAGAACATTGTCGTTCTTTCGTCATGGCTGCATAGAATTCCATTGTGTAAGATACCCACAGTTTTTCTGTAATCCATTCGTCAGTGGTGGCGCTCTTGGCTGTTTCCATAACTTGGCTATGAAAGTGCTGCAGTAAACATGGATGTGCAGGTGCCTCTGGAGAAACCTGTTGTCACAGTTTTTGGTATATCCCACAAGAGTGGTATTGCTGGGATCAAATGGGTAGATCGATGTCCGGCTTTTTTAAGTAGCCTCCAAATTTTTTCCAGAGTGGGTGTACTAGTCTACATTCCACCAACAGTGTAAGAGGTTCTTTTTTCCCCGCATCCTCGCAACACCTGTTGTTGGTGGGTTTGCTGATGATGGCTACTAACAGGGGTGAGGTGGAATCTTAGTGTGGTTTTAATTTGCATTTCCTTTATTGCTAGAGATGGTGAGCATTTTTTCATGTGTTTTCTGGCCATTTGAATTTCTTCTTTTGAGAAAGTTCTGTTTAGTTCACGTGTCCATTTCTTTACTGGTTCATTAGTTTTGGGAGAATTTAGTTTTTTAAGTTCCCTATATATTCTGGTTATTAGTCCTTTGTCTGATCTATCTTGTCTTTCTTGTCCTGATTAGATTGTACTCCTTCCCAACCCAAGACCACATCAACTCAACCTGATTCCATTCTTCCAGGGCCTTATAGACACAAATCCTTGGAGATCTTATTTTTATTTTGTCCTACGTGACACAAAGTTACCTTTCTTAATCTTATATCCCACATATTCATGAGGGAGCATATACCTTCTATATTATTTCTATCATGGAAGTGTTGCAGTTATGTCAACTGAATGCATATTTGTTAAATGTAGATTTCATTAAATGCTAACTGCTCAATACTGCTGCTAAACAATTACATTATTGTCCCATAGAAAAGTGAGAGCGAGCAAAGGCCATTAATAACAGATGCTATTAAAACAGTAAAAACTGGTAACTCACTTTGCCAGAAGGCTTTGGATGCATTAAGAAATTCAAGATCCTTTTCACCAGTTCACTGTTTACACCTGATCTCTCCAAATCAAGAACCTCACAGATGCTTTTTAACATGGCATTTCTAAATCTGAAACAGAAAATGGGAAAAGCCAATATAAAGGCAATAACCAACAAAATTGGTATAGCTTAAGTTGTATACATTAAAAAGCAGCCAATATTTCTATGCATCTTACTCTTAAACTTGACTACTGTATAACCAATTATGATTATTAGGAAATTGAAAATGCCATTTACTGGTTAGGTTTTCAAGGCAGCTTAAGAATGAACTTCAACTAAACTCACTAGAAAAAATATTTTTAAGTATTACAGAATTCATGCACTTGATCATTCTTCTGGCTAGAAAAACTACCCAAATTCAGACTGTGACAATGTTTCCATGAAGAATTAGGTAATCACTATTATTTACATTAAATTGTAAGTTTCAAAGTAGTTTAACTGGCTTAACAAGGAAAAAGTGACTAACAGAAGACAGAAATAGGCAAGATTTTTACTACATTCCCTTCAGACCTTTCGAATTTTGAATTCTGTGAATGAGTAGCCTGTGTCTATCATTCTTCTACAAAATAAAATTTAAGAGTTTTCAATAATCTTGATGGTCATTATTTATTGGAAAATAATGTAATGAATATCCCAAGTTAATGCTATGAAGACAAGTCAAATATTGGCACCTAAAGCAAAGAATCAGCAGTATAGTGAAAATGAACAGTGTTCATTTTTAAATGTTAAAAAGTAAACAAAGTACATTCATCAATACATAGTATTTACAAAAAGAACTCACTTTTTCAACATTTCTTCCTTCTTTTTATATTGGATACTTCCTTTTTCAAATGGAAAGCCACTGAACTGACCCACATTCTTCTTTAATGAGGACACCTGAAAATGTTTCTTTTATCATTAATGCTATTTATTATTCAGCAATGTACAAAAGAAAGTTAAAGCCAATGCAAAGCTACTATCTTTATTTTCATGTCTCTAAGTTACAAGATTGGTTTATTCAACATTTATTACTAAAGGTGAAAAACGTATTTGTTACTAACATTAATATTATAAAAATTCTGTAAAATTCTATAAAAATTCTTTGAAAAGAACAGTTTCAAGTTGGGTATGATAGTACTTGTGTGTAATCCCAGCTACTAGGAAGGTAGAAGTAGGCCAACCTGGGTAAAATTAGCCACACTGTTTCAAAAACAAAATAATAAAAATAAAAACGCTGGGGGCATAGCTCCAGTGGTAGAGACTTTGCCTAGCATACTTGAAGCCCTGGGTTTATTCTTAGTTCAGGAAGGAGATAAAAGTTTGCATTTAAATGAATTTCCACCAGACACTATTTGCTATGATTGTTATATAATAATAACTAGATGCAGAAAGTTACTACTTAAAAGGAATCCTTCATAAGCAACATGAACACCAGTAATATTTCTTACTTTCCAAATCAGAAAGTAAAGGACTTCATTTTTTTGAAAAGTAAGGAGTCAATGGGGTACTTGGGAGGCAGAGATCAGAAGGGCTGCAGTTTGAGGCCAGCCCAGGCAATTAATCTGTGAGACCCTATCTCGAAAGTATCCAATACAAAAAAGGGCTGGCAGAGTGACTCAAGTGGTAGAGTGCCTGCCTAGCAAACAGGAAGCCTTGAGTTCAAACCCCAGCATCGCCCCTCATAAAAGGTGAGATTTCCAATAAGTCAACATCATTTACTAGTTATGAAACTTGTATAAACTACACTGTTGTGATGACTGAATGACATTATACATGAAAATTATGCCATGTCTTAGACATTCTATTCTAACATCAAACTTTATCTTGTCCAAAGCAGTTTCCTTAATTATGAAATACAAAGTTGTATTACAGTGTAGTAACAAATCCTTTGGAAAAGACTTGCCATCCACTTTTATCAGGTATTTGTTCAAAATGAGATACAATTATACTGAATCATTTATTCGGATGGTAAGAACATTAAAAAATAAGTTTCTTCTAATATATACACAATGATCATTAAAATTATCACAGTTTGAGCTAGGCTCCAGTGGCTCATGCCTATAATCCTAGCTACTTGGGAGGCTGAGATCAGGAGGATCACTATTTGAGGCCAGCCAGGGAAACTATTTGCAAGACCCCCATCTCAGTGGGAAAAAACTGGGTCTGGTGCATGCCTATCATCCCAGTCCCAGCAAGCAAGAAAATAGGAGGATCAAGGTCCAGGCGGGCCTGGGCAAAAAACTAGACCCTCTCTCAAAAATAACCAGAGGAAAAAGAACTGGAGGCATGGCTCAAGCAGTCCAGGTGCCTTCCTAGCAAGCGTAAAGCCCAGTACCACCCCCATCTCCTCCCCAAAAAAATCATCACTGACTGGATTTCATAATTTGAAATTTCAACTGAGTAAATTACTTTTCTTTTTTTTTTTTTTGGTGGTGTTATAGGTCAAACCCAGGACCTCATGCATGCTTGAGAAGTGCCCTACTGCTGAACTTTATTTCCAGCCCCAGTTTGGGGCAAAAACAGCTACTGTAAATGAAAAAAAAAAAAAAAAAAAGCTGGATATTGGTGGCTCACACCTGTAATCCTAGTTACTCAGGTGGCAGAAATCAGGAGGATAGTGGTTTAAAGCCAACCCTGGTCAAATAGTTTGCAAGACCCTATCTCAAAAATACCACCAGAAAACAAAGAAAAAGCTACAGAAGAAAGAGCCCTGATAGTATATCCAGCTATATGAACCGTGGTAAGTTATTTTAAAAGGACGTATCTCAGCTGATGTGTCTCACTTGCTTACTGGCATAGCAAAGAAACTGAACTAGCTGATCATTAAAAATCTTTCACAGAACTAAAATTATGATTTTATTGTGAAGTATTTTATTACACAAACATGCAAATAAATGATATAAAAAAAAGATCTTACCGTGCCTGGTCTGTTGTAAAGCAATTTGTGTAGATTTCTAAGCTCATCTGTTTTCTTCTTACTCAGAAAGAAATGTATCCTCTCAATTTCACAAAGCTTCTGCCCCTTTCCTATAGAAAATACCGTAATTAAATATACATTGCTATTAATACACTTACAAAGTTAGTTTAATGGGAATTATTTTTATGACATAATTTACATGTAATATTGCCCTCATGAGGCAAATGAAGTAAAACTATATAGAAAGTTTATTACTACTTCCTAAGCACTAAACACCCCACTAGTACTAAGCTCTGGTAAGCATTCTTTTGCATACTTGGGCATGTTCCCCATAAAACGAAAGAAACAGAATAAACCTACCTTGTGCGATTGTAAATGGCTCTCTCTGTAAGGAAGACACTTGCATTGTCAATCTCTCTACTTTTTTCTTTTCCCTTTTGCCTTCCACGATGAGACTCTTTTCTAGAAATTAATTTAATTGTTTCTTAAATAAAAGCTAAAAGAATGTATTAACTTTACTGGATAAACACATAGGAAAAAAAACATCTCCCAAACCTTACTCCTCTCTTGAGTATGGAGTACTCAAGAGAGTACTCCATAGTATTTGAGTACTTGAGTAGTATTTTACTTACCTGGCAAACTAACAAGGTCCCACTTAAAAAACAGTCAGATAACAAATTTTTATCCAACTACAATTACTGTTATTAAAGGCCACTTTGTAAAAAATCATCTAGGCTCTCACTAAGCTTATTTTAAATTTCTTTTCAATTGATGCATAATTGCACATACTTACATGGTACCCTGTGATAATCCAATATGTGTATACAATGTGTAAAGAACATTTCTTTGTGTTTAGGGCTTCTCAACTTTTCTTCTAGTTCTTCATAAAATACATAATGAATTGTTTTCACTCTACTGTGCTGTAGCACATTAGGGCTTATTCCTATCCACTGTATTCTGGTACCTGTGATTTGTTAGAAGATGAGAAAAAATTCTACAAGCTTACATTTACCACTATCAACTGGCAGAGCATTATCCTGTGGTTTAAATAAATGATGCTCATAATAATAGGGCTATAAATGTTTAGTCCAGACTGGGGGTGAAAAAAACCAAAACCACTAGGAAACATGTAGTACATACTTTAAAGTTTAAAACATTAAGCTTAATTTATCTAAAATCACTTGGCTATTGATATAGTCAAATTAATTTAAAAACAAAACAAAAAAACATTGTTGGAGATCCTTTCATTTAGTTGAGTGAATGCTTATTTTGTCCAAAGCTGTACTTGATACTGACAGAATAAATAGGAGACTAAGACATGGGACATTTTTTGACATGTCTATGAGGAAAATGAGACATAAATATTACAGTGTAATGTAGAAGATAATAAAACACCTTATTAAAGAACCCTTAAAGTAAGGGCTGGGGATGTGAGCTCAATGGTATAGTGCTTGCCTAAAAGTACAGAGGTCCAGGGTTCAATCCCCAGTACTGCAAAATAAAAAATCACAAGTAAAAGTTTTGTGAGTTGAGGAGCAGTTGATTATTTTTGGACTAGGAAAAAAGGATCAAAACACTGGTGCTGACTTTGAAGAAGGGTAAGATCTGGGCGTGTAAGGATGTTCACATAAAGAATGAGTCAGGAGAAAGAGATGCCAGCAGGTATTTTCTGACAATGGCAAACAGAATGAAGGACAAACACTGTAGAGCAACCTTTATTATCACTCAATGCCCTCTCTTTTTCTGGCTTAAAACATTCACTTGCTTTTGACTGTCATCTATAAACTAGTAATTTCCCAGTCTAACTCCAGGCCAGAGCTTTCTTCTGTGAATGAGATCAAGCAATATGTGCCTGGCTACTACCTGGACAGCTACACTTCATGTCCCACAAGCATCTAAACTCAATACATCTAAAGCAGAAGGCTAATCATCTCCAAACTTGCTCACCTCTGCAAATTGTTTTTGGAAAAGTTAACACCATCTACCTAGCTGCCAAAGACTGCATGCTAGGAGTCACTAGCTGTTTTTCTCACCTTCCCCCGAAATCATTGCTGATTTTGTGTGATCTGACTCCTTATTTGACTCAGACTTCATTAATTTCACTACTGCACTTTCATGTCTCTATACTGAAAGTAAAACATTCTTGGCTAAGCAGAATTAAAAACTTGTACAGTTCTAGTTGTTTCGCAAACACCTCAAGTGAGTTTAAAAGAGTAATAATGAACCAGAGTAACTATAAAACTGTCAGGGGTGAACATTTTCACAAAAAAAAAAAAAAGAGACAATTTATTCGTCTAGAACAAAATCCAGGATTCTCAGCTGGATTGGCCAGCTGTCCAAGCATTACGGTTTGATCTGTTTATAGTACGCTTACATCGTTCCTCTAATTTTTTCTGATCAAGAAAATTCACCATCTCTGTGCAGAGAAAGCCTTAGCTAGTAGTGAGATACTGCAGCCAACTTTCAGTTGTATAGGTAACTCAAAAATAATTTGTGTTAAGTAATGATGTACATTAAAACTTAAAAGCAATGTTGTACATACATACATATATACATACACTCCCTTCTTGGGACACATATCACTTTAAACAAAAGGTATACCTTGTAATCTTAACTCAAGATTGTATTTATAAAATGCTGACTATGGACTGCTTTAAGACTTAATAAGCTGACAGTATGGAAGAGAACTTGAATTTCTTCCAAGTTGGGCTGAGCGATAGCCAGACTGGGCTATAATACCATCAAGAATGCTGAGCGTCATGGCCTGGGCTTCTAGGGGCAGTGCAGCGTGTATCCTGGACAGACGGACACGGGAGACTGCATACCGCCCAACTCCCTGGCTCAGCCTCGGGTCACAGGGCGGTTAATGGGAGGGAACGCCCTCCTTCAGAGCAGCCAGCTAGAGCTCCAAAACCGAGACAGCTGTGGCCTCGGGCCCGACTTTCTTTCATATTCACTTCTTTTATTTCTAACTACTTTCTCAAATAGCAACAGCTTTCACCGGTGTCTCCTAGAGAACGGAAACTCCTCTGAGCAGAGAGGCTCTGTGCTGAAATTCAACAAATGCATAGTTCAAGATACTCCAGCTCTTCCAGGACTCGCACTGGTACCCTCCCACATCTTAAAGTGCGTTCCCGTTAAAGACCTTGCAGTGACTTCAAAAGACAAAAGATGCACAACGAAGACGGCAGCACCATCCTGCAAAGCGCGCACCACCCGGGTTAGGAACACGGAAACTTCCCGCCCAATGGCGAGGCGAACCACGGGCGGGACTTCGGCCGAGCCCCGACGCACAACGCCACAAACACTTAAAAAAAAAATCAGAACCCGCAAATTCCCCGCCACTGCCCAACATGCAAACGCAGATTTCACGTGCATTTGTGAAAAACCGCTCCGGCACGCAATGCCTGTGGGCGCCAAAGCGTCAACAAAGGGGCTTTCTGGGAAACTCCTGGCTGTGACAATCCCATCCCGGGGGTCGCGACTTCCTGCCCACCTTTCTCTTCCTCCTCGTCGTCGTCCTCGTCGTCGTCCTCGTCCTCCTCCTCGCTCTCCTCCCGGGGCCCGGGCATTTCGGGGTCCTTCTCCGACGCGGGCGGGGCGGGGGTTCCCTCTCCCTCCGCAGCAGGGGCCGAGGAGGACATGCTGCGGACCTACCTGCGGGCCAGCGAGGGAAGATGGACGCTTCGGTCGCCGCGGTGCCCTCGGTCCCGCAGGCAGAGGACGGGGCGGTCCCCGTGGGGAACTGGACCTCCAAGTTGTCTCCGCACGGCTCGGTCCGCAGGGGCGGCTTCCCTCCCGCCCGCCGCCCGGCCTCCCGCGCGCGCTCTGGGGATGCCCGAGGCGGGAAACCGCACCGCCCACCCTCGGGCGCGTGCGCGCGCGCCCGCCCGTCCTGCGCTGCCTCCGGCCCGGCCCGAGGCGCCGGCTGCGGCGCGTCCCCTCCCCCTGCGCCAGGCCGCCGTCCAAATGGCCGCGTCCCTCCTCCAACCCCAGTCGGCCGCAACGGGGAACACGGCTGGGCCTTCCGTTGCCCCCGCACGCAGCCCTCACCGCGGGTCCCGGCCGCCGCGAGCCTGGAACGGGAGAGCACGAAGAGACTCCGGAGGCCGACGCCGAGGAGAAGGCGCGCGGGCCGCTGTCTGGCGTGACGCTCGCGACGCGCGCTCGGCTCCCCAGAATCAACAAGATTTTCAAAATGGCGGTTCGGGAAGGAGAGCGGGAAGGCCGCGGCCAATCGGGGCCGCGGGCGGGAGTTGGCGGGCGCCGGGTGGGGAGGCGGGGCGCGGGAGGCCCGGCAGGACGGGAGGGGCGGGGCCTGGCCGGGAGCGAGGGGCGGGGCGCGGCGGCGAGGGGGTCTCCCCGGCCGCGGGCAGCGGGCGCGCGCTCCCGAATCAGGGCCAGCGTGCGGGCGACGCTCGGGGCGGCGGAGCGGCGGGCTGCGTCCTGGGCGGTGGACGCGGACGGAAGGACGCTAGGTGACCCGCGTGTTGATTGTCAACATGGTCGGTTCCGGGAAAAGGCCAGGGGCAGTCCAGACCGGGAGGGGGCGGCGGTGAAGTTGAGAAAGCCCTGAGGTCGCTCTCGACCGTTCTGCACCGAGCCGGAGGGGATTTCCTGAATGAGCGATCTCATTTATGCCCTAGGGTTCTTTCTGGAGGACCCCCTCGCCTATAAGGTGCCGGTTTAGGGAAATGACCCTGCCGCTGTTAAAGGTTCACGTACCTGTAAATGTAGAGGAAATCTCAGTGCCTCAGTCAATCTCTCTGTGTGTCTGTCTGTCTGTCTGTCTGTCCTCTCTCTCTCACTGAGGAAATGGTAAGGTGTCTGCCCATTCCAGACCGTCTTGCCAAGAACTCACTTCCACACTTCAAAAACTAACCGCAATATTTTCCCTCCTCAAACACTCCCATATGTAATTTTCTTTATTTTCTCCCAGCTCCTGAACTACAGCTACCCAAAGGATCCTTTTATTAATTGACTTGCTGGAAATATGATCCTTTACATTTTGCCTGAAAGGACTTCAGGTTGCAGACATTTTCTTTTAATTCTCTTTCCTCCTATGCTTCTATCTAAAACATAAGTAAGTCCTGTCATTTCTACTCTCAAATTTTAGACTGTTTCCCACTCTACTGATCTGGCTCAGATCCTGTGCACTCTTCTTTAGCTTGGGTCACAAAATAGCCTGTTACTCATCTGATCCTTCATACTGCTCCCACTAGTCACACAGCAGCCAAGGTCACCTTTAAAAAAACAAAAACCAAAATCGGATACTTTCTCATTTAAAACCTCCAAATCCTGATATATGTGGAATAAAACCTAAAATCCTAATCATGATTTATAAGGCTTTGTATAATACAGCTGCTGACAGTTTCTCTGATATCTCCCTGACAAGGCTGGCTGTTCAGCCACACAAGATTTCTTGGTGTTCCTGGATAAGGCCGAGTTCATTCCCTCTTTGGAGCTTTTTCTTCTGCAGGGACTACTCTATGAATCTTCAAATAACTTACCCCTTCACGTCATATAGTTCTGCTCAAGTGCTCCCCCAAGGCAATCACTGTTTCAACACCATTCTTTTCATTTTGTTCATTTATTCAGAAATATCCAGTGCCTCTTCTCTGTTCATCACTAGAACGAGGGCAGGATTAAGTGCCTGCTATCTTGAAGCTTTAGTTGAGACAATGAGCAAATAAATAAGTGAATATATTGTATGACAAACAGTGATATAACAAGTTAAAGGAGATAACAGGTACCAGTAGGGTGGATGGGATTTGATGACTAAAGCAGGTCTTAGTAAGATAACATTTGAGAAAAGAAGTTAAGAAAATGAGAACAGTGGAAAGAGACTAGATATAGTCTAAAGAATTATCTAAAGAATTCGATGTGGAATGATGGTCTGAGTTTTTGGTTCAGACAACTGAAAGAACAGAGTAGTTATTTATTGAGATGAGGAAGACTTCAGGTGGTGGGTTGGGCTTTTTTTTTTTTTAAAGGAGGGGCATGTGGGAAGTGGGAACCAGTTTTGTTTTAGACATGTTAGGTTTCAGATTCCTGTAAATAACAAAATGGAAATTCAGATTGGGCAATTGAATATGAGTCTGGCATTGAAGGGAAGCTCTAATTCATGATACAAATTTAGCAGTTGTCAACATGTAGTTGGTATTTAAAGCCCTGGGACTGGATGAGATCACTGACAAAGTGATAAGGGAGAGGTCCAAGAATGTACCTCTGAGTGCTCTAATGGTTTACACGTCTAGGAAAGGAAAGAGGGCCAGCAAAGGAGACGTAAAGGAACGCCTTTAGTTAGTGCACTGGGAAGAGAAGCAAATGAAAACTTTCCCAGAAGCCAAGTGACAAAGGACTAACCAACTGGGTCAGATGTGGCTGAGAAGTCAGGTGAGATGTGAACTAAGAATTGATCATTGAGTATAACAATGTTGTGTTATCAGTGACAGTGATGAGCTGTTTCTGTGGAGTGGTGATTATGAAGGTGCCATGAGTGGGGATATAGAGTACCAAGTAGGCAAGGAATGGATTCAGACATTCTTTCCAAGAATTTTACTGTTCAGGGGAGCAAAGCGCGAGTTTGGTGTTTTAAGAAGATGTTGTGTATTTGAAGGATGGGAATGACTCTGAGAAGAGATAAATTGATGATAGGAGACAGGGAGGGGGCAGAAGCTGGAGCCAAACTAACATAGGTATGTCAGGTTAGGTTCTCTGTAAGCAGATGCCGAAATAGATTTGGGGGCACCACATGTTTATTAGGGGTCAAGACCTGTGAGAAGAATGGGGAGGGAGCAAGATTGGACAGAGGTCAAACTGTGAAGCTGATCTGACAAAGCTTTAGTCAACCCTGCCAGGAGCTATGGAGTGACTAGTGCTCTTCAGGTTATCCTGGTGGCTTGCCCCTGAATTGCTCAGTCTTCACGTCTTTCCTCAGCCAGGATACAATTTCAGATACAATGACTACAGCTGTAGCACATCCTGAAGGAGCTGACAGATGGAGGTTGTCTGCTGACCACAGCTTTGCAGTTGGGTGTCACATCCTTCCCTGAGGAGGGATCTCAGTGACCCATGCCCACTTCTGCCATAGGAACCTAATGCACAAATGGAAGCGTTGTCCTTAGGTAGGGCAACGGATAGCCTCTACATATGTCTTAGTCGTGTGTATATATATATATATATATATTTTTTTTTTTGTTGTTATAACAAAATACCTGGGACCAGAAAATTGATGAAGAATAAAGGTTTATTTAGCTCACAGTTTCAGAGGCTAAGAAGTTCAAAAGCATGGTGCCAGTAACTAGGGAAGATGTTATTACATGGCAGAGAATAACACATGAAGAGAGAGAGCAGGTGTGCTAGGTTGGTTGTTTCTTCTTATAAAGCCACTAATGCCAACATAAAGATGTTACCCTTATGACCTCGTCTAGTCCTGCTTACTTCCCAAAGGCCCCATATTTAGGTACCATCAACATTTGAATTAGGGGATTGCTTTTCTAGCACATGAAATTTGGGGGACACATTCAAACCATAGCAATAGGGAAACAGGAAAAAAGAAAGTATGTGTACAGACACAGGGTGGGAGTTAGCAGATATAGTGGGAGTTTTAGAAGTTCTTATCCTTTAACTTTCTCATTGAAATCAGGAGCAAAATCATTGACAGTGAAGGAGTAAGACTGCTGGAAGCTTCTGGAGAGAGGAAATGTGAAGTAGTTATGTAGGAGAGTGGGAGATGAGCAAGATAGTAGGGTGGCCAGGCAGCTGCAAGGACCCATTGAGATTAATGGCCATGAAGTGAATGAGGCCAGTCAGCATTTTTTTTTTCTCCAGCTATATTCAGCTCCTTGGCAGTAGGTACAAAGATGGGGGGCAGGGGGGTGGAAGGAAAGAAAGAGGACAAAAACCAAGTAAAACGCATTTAACCAGGTTGAAAATTTACCAGGGTGAAAAGAGAGAAGGAATAAGTTGAGGATATGCACAGGAAAGTGAATATAGTGATGGACCAGAGTGTTGAGCAAGGAAAAGAGAAGGGTGAGAGGCAGTGAGAAGGAAGCAAAATTTTTTTATGTTTGTTACATTTATCACCACCTGAAAATTTTATCATCTGTTTTCCCCTCAAAAATGTAGCTCTGAGACTGCTGCCTTCCTTTACCTTATTCATGACTGTATTCTCAGCACCAAAAGCCAAGTCTAACCCATAGTAGGTGGTCAATAGGTATTCACCTACTGAATGAGTACAAACCAAAATAAACTCTTATTATGAAGATCCAGAATTTTTTTTAGTATATGATGAGAGGGTATTAGTCAGGATGCAACAGGTTATTTCAGTAGCCTAATAGTAAAGGTCTGTTTTTTGCTCTATAAAGCTCTCTGTACAGTTCAGGCAGCCTCCAGAGCTTCAGCTCATGAGATTTACTCATTTCTCCAGGCTACTTTGATTTTGAGGATCAACATAAGTCCTTCATGTCCACAGTGGTAGTGAAAAGCAGGAGAACTCATATCTGGTGCTCTTCTAAAAGTCAGTCATAGAATTGTACCCAACTGCAAAGGAGCTAACTAATATGTGGCACACAGGGATGGGTTAGTATTGCCATCTCTGCTATGGAAAAGACTAATAATTGCAACTTAATCTTGTACAATTGGGATGAACACAGGATGTGCCTAAATGTATCTGTTGACTTTATTTGGATAATTATTAAAACCCTGGTTCTTAAAATTTCTTTCTTTTGCCTTTGAGAAGTTTTTACATCCATTGCATGCACATATCAGTATTTCTCATACACATATCTAGCTCTTATATACACATACCTATCTTTCCCAGACTGTGAGCTTCATAGGCAGAGATCATGGGCTATGCTTTTGTTGTTCTGTGTTTGGCACAGTGCCTGCCACCTAGCAAATACTATTTGTTTTATTGCAATGGACCCCATTTGATTCTTAGTGGCATGCTCTATTGTCTGGATGCTATTTAAAGACTGCCCAGCAATAGTAAATTAACATGTGTTTGAATAATGTGATAACCAGGTTCTTTTTTAAACCTGGTCATAAATATAAATATAGTGACACATTTGGTACTTCTAAAAAAAAAGCTATCATACTCTATTTTGGTGGAAAGAGTTAGGCAAAGTACACAATTTAGTAATTTGAGACTAGGTTTGAATGTTATGATATCTAGTTGGTTGATTATAAATTGGATATGCTAGTTTGACAATGGCCAGGGAAGA